ATTTTTTATGGGGATCGTGCCCCTTGTTAGACCTCGTGGGTCGTAAGTGTGTTTGGACCGTGGCCATGTTTTAATGAATGACCCATCGAAAATAAGTAGATAAATTTGAGTAATCAAGCTGGCCAGCCTATATAGATTCCCATAATATCTCTAAGTGTTTCTAGGGTTGTAATCGTGCTAACTTGAGCTTGCGATTATATAGTGGATTTCGGGCGAGTTGTCTCCTCATGGGAGTTGTCTCGTAGCGAAGTTGTAGGAGCATTGGATGACGCGCTACTGAGGAGCGTGCGGATTGAGGTCGCTCTGAGCGATTTGTCTCCTCGTGGGAGTTGTCTCGCAGCGAGTCTTATTATCGAGCGAGGTGGCTGCACGTGGGAGTTGCCTTGCACCGGATTTGTAGTGCCGAGCGAGTTGGCTCCTCGTGGGAGTTGTCTCGCTGCAGGTTCGTAGAACTGAGGGAATTGGTTCCTCGTGGGAGTTGCCTTGCAACGGGTTGTAGGAGCGAGCGAGTTGTCTCCTCGTGGGAGTTGTCCCGCTATTGGTTGTAGGACCGAGCGAGTTGGCTCCTCGTGGGAGTTGTCTCGCTATGGGTTGTAGTACCGAGCGAGTTGTCTTCTTGTTGGAGTTGTCTCGCAACGGCTTGCAGGACCGAGCGAGTTATCTCCTCGTGGGAGTTGTCTCGCAACGAATTTGTAGGATCGAGCGAGTTTGCTCCTCGTGGGAGTTGTCTCGACTGTGTGTAGTAGTACCGAGAAAGTTTGCTCCTCGTGGATTTGCCTCGCAAGGGGTTATAGGGCGGAGCGAGTGGTCTCCTCGTGGGAGTTACATCGCTGTGGTTTCGTAGACCCGATGGAGTTGGCTCCTCGTGGGAGTTGCCTCGCAAGGGGTTATAGGACGGATCGAGTGGTTTCCTCGTGAGAGTTATCTCGCAAGCCTCTCACTCTCGAGACGATGTGGAAGCCAGGTCGAAAAGGGTACCGGATCGTGTCGAGAGTAGATCGGTGTTGTAGTCTTGAGTTAATCGTTGGCATTGCGCGGAGGAATAATATTTTTTATTTATCCATTTGATAGCGAACGCGATTTGGTAGGCGCGTTAAAGAGCTCGCGCAATTTGGTGGAGCGCGTTGAAATTCTCTTCCAATTTGGTGAAGCGCGTCAAAATCTACGCGCAATTTGGTGGAGAGTAGTAAAAGTGGCACGCGATCTGATGGGAGCGCGCGCTCCAAGGTGGCCCTGGGAAGGCGCGCGCAGCTGCTGCCCCCCATGCGCGTGTGAGCAAGCGCTTCGCAATATTATTATTATTTATTTATTTTTTTTGGATAGAGGCGCGCGCGGGGCTTGGAGGGGGCGCGCGGTCGGTTCGCTGCATATTTTTTTTTTTTCTTTTTCAATGGAGCCGCGCGCGCGGCTTGGCTCGCGCGTGGCTTGGCTCGCGGCTTGGCTGCAACTTCTTAATTATTTTTTTATTTATTTTTTATTTTTATTTTTTTGAATGGGGAGGCGCGCGCGGCTTGGAGTGGGCGCGCGGCTTGGCTGCGTCTTCTTCACTTTTTTTTTTTAATTAATTAATTTATTTTTTTTATTTTTTTTTTAATGAGGAGGCGCGTGCGGCTTGGAATGGGCGTGCGCGCGGCTTGGCTCGCGCGGCGGCTTGGCTGCATCTTCTTTACTTTTTTTTTTTTTTTTTTTTCATCTTTTTCTTTTTTCTTTTTCTTTTCTTTTTTCATCTTTTTTTTTTCTTCTTCTCCTTCTTCTGTTTCTTCATCTTCTTCTTTTTTCTTCTTCTTTCTTCTTTTTCTTTCTTCTCCTTTTTTTCTCGCGCGTGCTGTGCACGCGCAGTTTCTTTTTTTTTCCATCTTCTCTATTTTTCTTCTACTTCTTTTTCTTTTTTTTTCCATCTTCTCTATTTTTCTTCTACTTCTTTTTCTTTTTTCTTCATCTTTTTCTTTTTTGTTCTTTTTTTTTTTTTCTTTTTTCTTCATCTTCTTCTTTTTTCTTCTTTTTCTTTCTTTCTTCTTCTGATTCTTCTTCTTTTACTCTCTTTTTTCTTCTTTATGTTCTTTGGTCTCGCGCGCGCGATGTGACCCCCTTTTTTTTTTTTTTTTCTTGGTGGTTGATGTTCACCCCTTGGGATGTTCTATTTTTTGAGTAGGGAGATTATACTCGTCCCTTGAGATGTGATGTGAACCCACTTGGGGATGAAAGGTAAGGGTGATGCCCAACCTTGGGATGGGATAACCGCCCACTGTAGGATGTGGCACTCGAGACCTATGGTCTGAGGTGGATGCGAACGGTTGTGCCATTGGTTCGCGCGCGCGCGTCAGACCCTTTTTTCTATTTTTTTTTTTTATCTTCTTTTTCTTTCTTTGAAGTAGGGACGTGAAACACTTGATGGGATGTGAAACTCCTTGGGGTTGAAAGGTAAGTGGATGTACCACCCTTGAGATGAGATGCCCAACTTTAGGATGGGATAGCCCCCCATTTAGGATGAGGCGATCACGAACCATTGGGGTGGGATAACTCCCCAACTTAGGATGAGGCGATCACGAACCCTTGGGATGAGATGCCCAACCTTGGCGATGTATGGTGCCACTGATTCAGTGGCAGCACGAGTTGAATCTTCCGTGATCATACGTTGAAGGTCTTCTTCGGTTATCTGAACCGTTCGAGAAGTAAGTAGAAGTTGATCATGTTGAGGACCCAGTGGGGCCTCACGAGGAGGAGCGTTGGCTCCTACTATGACGATATATGGTGCCACTGCTTTAGTGGTAGCACAAGTTGAAGCTTCCGCAATTATACGCTGAAGGTCCTCATCGATTATCTGAACCGTTCGAGGAGCAAATAGACGTTGATTTTGTTGAAGTTTCTGCGATCATACGCTGAAGGTCCTCTTCGGTTATCTGAACCGTTCGAGGGGGGGTGGAGGTAGGCCCCCATGGAGTCGATAACCCATGGCGAACGAAATGATTTGGGGGCACTGTAAACCCCCAGGAATTGATAACCCTTGGCGAACGAAATATTTTGGGGGCAGACGTAAGCCCCGAGGGAGTCGATAACCCTTGGCGAATGAAATATTTTGGGGGTACTATAAACCCCCAGGGAGTCGATAACCCTTGGCGAACGAAATGTTTTGGGGGTACTATAAACCCCAGGGAGTCGATAACCCTTGGCGAAAGAAATGTTTTGGGGGCACTGTACACCCCCAGGGAGTCGATAACCCTTGGCGAAAGAAATGTTTTGGGGGCACTGTAAACCCCCAGGGAGTCGATAACCCTTTCTAGTGTTGAAGGGCCTCCTCGGTTGTCTGAACCGATCGAGAGGCGGGAAGAAATGAATCCTATTGAGGATCTAGTGGGACATCCGAGAAATGTCTCGTGGTGGATCCCGAGCACGAGGAGCAGGAAGTGGCAAGCCAAAGCCTCCACGAGGTGGGAGGTTGTTAGCAGTGTCACACTTCCCTGAGCAGAAGTCTCAAGGCCATCTTGCGCGCTACGTGGTCTTGTTTGCCTTCCCACAGACGACGCCAAAATGATGATGCTAAAGATAGATCACCTTAGAGTGTTGAAGTAGGATGAGCTGGAAGAGCAGAGTGGATCACTGGCTCACGAGCTTGATGACCTTGAGATACCTGCGATCATAGAACACATGAACTAAGCCGGGGGTTGATCCGACGGAAACCCCTCCGTCGCTCAAGTCAGACGTGCTGATCATAGAAAATAGTCCAGAGAATACAGTTGTAGTATTGCTCAGTTAATAGGACGTACCTTAAGGAATGAGTTCAAACCTTTATTTATAGCTTAATCAAGATTGTTGGGCCCAAACCTTACTTGAAGGTGATTGGGCCTCGGTGATAGTAGTCTTTAATATTGGGTTCGTGGCCCAATAGGTAAAGGAATCGTAGGCCCATTGGGTTGGTCCAATTATGTATATCACGGTCCAACTGTGATCCGAATGCCTATCCGGTTTTGTGTTCGGTGCGGTTCTGACAACATTGAAAATAACTATGTAAAATAACTAGTATTGATGATATTTTCTAAGGAATTATATTTCGTTTGTAAAGATCGCGGTGTGGAGAGATTATTAAAAGGTGGAAATAGAATATCTCTTCAAGAAATGAAGCACTTGACATATATTTATATATATATTTGGGATAATTTTGAAAATTGTAGTTATGACGGATTATACATAGACTGATTCACCCGATCTTTTTTTAATTTATTTATTTATTATTATTTTGGGTAATTACATCCACACCCTGAGGTGTGCTAAAATAATTTTAACGTCCCTGTGGTATCGATAATTACGCTCATCATCTTGAAACGTAGTTAGAAACTGTAACGAGATAATGAATTGGATACATTATTCCGGTAGGGTTCTAATGGACTATTACTTTTAGCTAGTGGTGGAGATAACATAGAGTTATGGGGAGTTATGGAGTGACATGGCTCTCCCAATATATCTTAAATCACCCATAACTTTGTTGTCTCCACCACTTGCTGAAACCAATAGCCCGTTAGAACTCTATCGTAATAACTTATTCAATGCATTATCCCATTAGAGTTTATAACTACGTTTCAAGGGGGTGAGTGTAATTATCGATACCATAAGAACCTTATAAAGTTATTTAAGCATACATCAGAGGTGTGGATGTAATTTACCCTTTTTTTTTTTAAAACAAAATTTGGTGAACCACATAATTATATACATATGTACATACTTATATATTTGAGACTAAGAGAATTGTTTTCATTTTTGAGATTTGAGATTAAGAGAATTTAGATACACATAATTATATATTTGTCAACGTTTCAATCATTGTCAAATGTCAACCACACACCATATCCATGTATTAATATTATTTTATTTCACAATGATGAGTTTACTAATATTTGCCAACGTGATGCCTATATGTGCTATCCTCACCAAATTTGAAAGAGAAACTTTATCTTTGAATAATTGCCTATTTATTCTTCTTTGGTTTGCTCTTTTTTTTGTTTAGAACAACACACAATAAGTAAGAGTAGAAAATGAAGGAATCCTGCGGTGGGAATTTGAACAAGCTTTGGAACAAAAAAACATTATTGGCACTTGGTTTGGGGCAATGCCTCTCTCTTCTCATCACTTCAACTGGATTTTCATCTTCCGCCTTGGCCAAAAGAGGTTACATATCTCTCTCTCTCTCTCTCTCTCTCTCTCTCTCTCTCTCTCTCTCTCTCTCATTTGCATCGATGGTTTGATTCAGTGACGGGTTCAAGAATTTGGTACATGGGGGGCTTAAATTTTCGGTGGTATGGGGCGCAGTGCCCCAGAAAATTTGAATGGGATTTTTTTGTGACAACATTAGAAAATAGGAAAAAAAAATGAAGAAAAGAAAAAAAATTAGAGTTTTTTTGCATTAATTTTAATTTTTGGTGGACTAATTAACAATAATTGGGGCTTCTTTTTGCATTAATTTGAATTTTGGTTGGACTAATTAATAAAAATTAGGTCGGCTTAATAAATATATATGTATAACATAGGGAAATTTTAAAAATTGAAGGTGGACTCGCCCCGGGTTTGATTACATAAAACTAGAAATTAGCAATGGTATTGTTTGATTACATAAATTATAAATAATTATAGACGGGATATGATTTAATTACAGATTTAGAAACTTTCCGAACATCAAAATTTTAATATTTCCAGAAAAGGATATATTTCGAATTATGAGATTTTTCCTTTCATAAGTTATGCTTGTTTTATATCTTTCATTAAATTGCATATCCATCAACCAGTTTTGATTATGACTAATTTAACACCAAATTATTTAGTTATTTTGTAAATGGGTAAATTAATAAATATCAAACAAGCCCAACAAAAATGATACTAATTGAAACCCTCTCAATTTGTACAAAAAAATCAATGAAGTAGCAAAGTGAAAAAGAAAAAAAGGTACTTTTAGGATAAAATATATGGTTCAATTCAAAGCATACATAAATAATAATTGACAATGAGAATAAAGAAGAAAGAAAAAAAACATTTGATTTTTCCTTGAAATATAGAATGAAAGGGCATAACAAGTTCAGTCCACGTTATGCGGCTGGTGGAAGCCCACATTCTCTTTTACTAGTATCATTTATGTCAATGAAATAATAAATTGGGTAAATTACAACCACCCCTGAGGTATGGTCAAATTACGAAAACCCCCCTCTTGTTTGGATAATTACAATCACCCTCACAACTCCTCAAATTTAGTGGAATCTTCGATATTATATGGAATATTATCACTTTTGTACCGTTTTATCCCATTCGAACTCTACATTTTTTGGGATAAAACGGTACTTTTTGGTTTGTATGTATCAGATTGTGGTGCATCAGAAACTGTATTTTTACTCAAAACGAGTACAAACTATAGCACATTCCACGAAATCTAGATGATTATGTTGAATTTGACACCATAAAGGTGGAGATGTAAGAAAAAATTATAGTTGGGGTAGATATAATTATCCAAAGAAGAGGGATTTTTTGTAAATTGACCATACCTCAGGGGGTGTTTGTAATTTACCCTAATAAATTATGAAACTTTTGCACATAATATTTTTTAATTCATCATTTGCCCCTTTTTATTGTTTGGCCGCGATCATTCGAAATACCACAAATTATTAAGGGAAAGATCAAATCCAATTTTCCACCAAAATGATATATTAAAAGACTGTTGTACTCTTACTAAATTGAAAAAAAAAACATACCACACCACAAATCATAAGATCACAAAATTATATTAGAAAGACCCTACACATAAAACTGTTAAGATAAATATATTTATAATTTGACCGTTTAACTCAAAAGAATGAGAGGAAAAGAAAAATGGCAAATTACGCGAAACCTCCTGAGATAAGGTCTAATTACGAAAATCCCTCCATGTTTGTGTTATTATGAAAATCCCCACAGGTGTTTGACCGTTTACACTCACATAAAAATTATATTCCATTTTACATTTTTGTTATTTGAAAAAGGACATATGATAAATTATTACAAACCCCTGAGGTAGTGTCTAATTATGAAAATCTCCCCATTTATGCGATATTATGAAAACCTCCCGGGGTATGTTGTCGGAGAATTATGGGAGAATCTTGTTCGAGTTATTCCTAACTTATTTAATAATAATGAAATATTTGTAACATAAAATCAATTTTATAGAATAAAAATTATGAAAATATGTAAAATCGATTTCATGGAATAAAAAATTATAAAAATGTAAACAAAAAAATTACAAAACAACTAAAAAAATTTAAAGTTACGAGATATATTTAATTATTTTTACATAATTTTTTGAATATATTTATTTTAAAAATTAAAAATAACTTCATTTTTTGAATATATTCCAACTTAGCCCCTAAGTAATTATTATGTTTACATGTGTCACATATTATATATCAACTTGTATGGGTATTTAGTTTTTCATCAAAATAAGTATTTATTTCTATAATTTTTTTTGTAAGTGTGTATTTTTAGTGTATTCATAATTTATCCAATAATCTCTAATGATTTGTGTGAAAATTATGATAGGAATTAATGCACCAACTTCTCAGTCTTTTTTCAACTATGTACTATTGGCATTAGTGTATGGAAGCATTATGCTCTACAGAAGGCAACCTGTCAAGGTCAGTAGTTATCGACGTTAACTTTTATTGCGCTATTAAAAAATAGTTATCGACGTTAACTTTTATTGCGCTATTAAAAAAAATTCATTTCCAAGATTTTTTTATGCAAATTACAATAAGATCATTGCTGATATTTAATGTTTTTGTAGATGGCAAAACAGTAATTTGAACTTTCAACTACAGTGAATTTTATCGTTGCTCATATTATATATGCTAATTATTTTCGAATGGGGATAGTATGTGTATTATTTGATGCTATGGTGAATGTAGTTAATTTTCTTTTCTTTCTCAGTAACTAACTGGCTATTAGCAGTGATGTGGTGTTTGTCTCAGCTCCATTTTAATTCTATTTGGGCATAATATTAATAAGGGTAAATTACACCTACACTCCTGATGTATGCTATAATAACTTTAAGGTGCCTATGGTATCAGTAATTACAACAACCCCCTAAAAGATTGTTAGAAACTCTAACGGAATAATGCATTGGATATTTTATCCCGTTAGGGTTCTAACGGACTATTAGTTTCAGGAAGTGGTGGAGACAACATAAAGTTAGGAGGTGATATGACTCCCCCAACATTTATTCGATCCATATTATTTATAAATTTTTGTCTATGGTAGCGTTAACGCCCTTGCAGAAAACAAATATAGTGCATATCGGTCCAGGCAGGGGCGGAACCAGTTCGGTAGGAGGGGACGAAAACTTTAGAGAGTTAATAAAAATATGGTGGGATTCGGGGGCAGTGCCCTCAGAACAATATTCATAAACTTATATAAAATAAATTGCAATATAGAAACATTTAGTCGAATAAGTAAAAGTGTTTTTAAAAAAAATAAAATCTTGAAATACATAGAAATTCGATAGATTGAATACTTTAAACATTGAGAAGAAAGAAAAAAAGTACTTTCTTTGTTATGTTATATTATTTTTTTATCATAAGCTTTAATAGAGATTAGGGATTGAGATTGTGAAAAATATTTTATAGGATAAAGTATAATAGAAAGTTAAATTTAAAATGTGGAATAATAATTTATTTTTTAATGTGGGCTATATATAAATATTTGTAATAAAAAATCAATATATAATAGTAGATAAAAGTTAATATATCAACCAATTACTAATTATTTGTATATATATAGTAAAAAAAATAAAAAATTATGGGGGGACAAGAGTCCCCCTTGCCCCATAGAAGTTCCGCGAGTGTCCCCAGGACATGAAATCTTGGGTCCGGTAATTTTTTTTTAGGGGTGTGGCTGTAATTATCAATACCACAAGAACCTTAAAGTTACTTTAGTGTACCTCAGGGGTGTACGTGTCATTTAACCTATTAATAATATGGGATGAAACGCTAAAAACACGAGTTTTTCTAACATTAATTTTTAGAAAAATATTTAGGAAAGTTTTTGTATGCTGGTTTTGGTATATAGTGCATTAAATGTATTTTTTACTAAATGAGAGAATTGCAAAATGAAATGATTTGACAAAGCAGGCGAAATGGTATTACTACATATTGCTTGGATTAGTTGATGTGGAAGCCAACTTTCTTGGTAAGTTGCATATTAATTTGTATTAGTATTAATACTTATACTATTAATTATTATTAATCTATTAAAAATAGTTTTAAGTGACAAAATTAATAATGGTGGGGGATGCAGTGGTGAAGGCATACCAGTATACAACGATTACAAGTGTAATGCTGCTGGGTTGTTGGACAATACCCTGTGTACTATTTCTTACATGGCTTGTTCTGAAGACCAAATATAGATACACAAAACTGATTGGTGTAGTAATATGTATTGCTGGTCTTGTCATTGTTGTTTTCTCTGATGTACATTCTGCTGATAGGAAATCAAGTAAGTTCTTTTTTTCTTTTTCTTTTTTCTTTATCTAAATAAATCATATAATTAATTGTTTTTTTTTTCTTTCTATTTTTAGTTAATACATAAATAAATTAATGAATTAATGTTGAGTATATATGTAGGCGGTAACAACCCTCTTAAAGGGGATATGCTTGTTATTGCTGGTGCCACTCTTTATGCTGTCACTAACGTCACTGAGGTATGTATCATCTGGATTTTGGATATTTATTCTTTCTATTCATTTATATGGGTAAATTAGGCTTAAATTCCACTTTGCACCCTTAAAATATACCATTTTGGCACTTTGCACCCTCGAAAAATAATAATAGCACTTTGCACCCTCAAAACACAATAAATCATTCACAATGCACCCTCAATTGAATAATAAAGGCAATTTCATTTTTCATTGGAGAATTTCTTTTCGGGGTACAAAATAAATAAATAAAGTTATTTTCTTGAACCTCAAACCTAATTTTGAGCAGACAAAGTGCGAAAAAAGTAAAAATTACACCGGATTATTTAAAAAAACTACATTTTCTTACAAAAGAAAAATAAAAAAAAGCTTTTATCACTAAGTTATTCGATTGGTGGATCTTTTATGTAACTGTTTGAAAATATAGGTGAAAATATTTGGAAGAAAATATGATTTTCAGATAACTTGATAACGGAATAGCTGAATGATTTTTTTTTCGTAAAATAGTTTATTTTGATAAAAAAAATATAAATTTTAAATATGTTGATGAAAAGTATTTTTATTTTTGAACTTTAAGTTTCAAAATGATTGATGAATAAAAAAAATATTTGACATTTGGCGTCCTAAAAAAATATCACTAGAAATATTAAATTTATATTTTTTAGCTTTAAAAATTGCATTATGCATGATTTATTGTATTTTGAGGGTGCAAAGTGCTATTAATTTATTTCGAGGGTGCAAAGTGCCAAAATGGTATATTTTAAGGGTGCAAAGTGGAACTAAGCCGGTAAATTACAACCCTCTAAGGTATGGTCAAATGACAAAAACCTCCCTCTTGTTTGGGTAATTACAACCACCCCTCAATTAGAAATATTCTTATACGTCCACCCTTTCGGTTTCAAATTTAGTGGAATCTTCGAGATCCTATGGAATATGATTACTTTTGTACCCGTTTTATCTCATTCCAACTCCACATTTTGAAGCAAGATGATAATAATATGTGTTTTTTGGGTTGTATATATCAGATTGTGGTGCATCAGAAACTGTATTTTTACATAAAACGAGTACAAACTAGAGCACATTCCACGAAATCTAGATGATTATGTTGAATTTGACACCATAAGGGTGGGGGTGTAGGAAAATATCATAGTTGAGGGAGGTAGATGTAATTATCCAAACACGAGGGGATTTTTCGTAAATTTACCATACCTCAGGGGTGGTTGTAATTTACCCTATTTTTATTTTCAATTATTCAATTTGTTGTTGTTGTTGTCGTCGTCGTCGTCGTCGTGTATGCAGGAATATTTTGTTAAAAATGGTGACAGAGTTGAGCTTATGGCTTTCTTAGGCATATTTGGTTCCATCATCAGCGGTATTCAAATGTATCCTTCTCTGTTTTTTTTTTTCTTTTTCTTTTTTTAGTTTCTATTGTTGCACAGTGACGAAGCCAGAATTTTATCATCGGGTGGGGCGAACATACATTAAAAAATAACGTAAAAATATGAAAACAATGATTGTTTTAAGAGCGACGAGTGTAAAATTTTGTTATATGGGGGTTTAAAGTTTGGGGGGTTCGGGGGCAGAGCCCCCGAAATTTTTTAGGATTTGGTTTTTTTTTTTTTTTTTTTTGAGAAAATCAAAAGATGTGAAAAAAAAAAAGAAAAAAAACTTTTTAGGACTCTTTTTGAATTAATTTGAATTTTGGGTGGACTAACTAAATATAAAGGTATAACATAGTGGAATGTTTTTCAAAATAGGGTGGGAGTCGCCCCGGTTTCGAGTCACAATTCGTAACTTCCTTATACGACCTTTTACACTCATTTATTATTTTTTTGTTCTCTTCAATAGAAATAATAAATTTTATTTTTAAAATAAAACTAAAGTTTTAAAAATCATAGGGGCACAATACAAAACAAATAAATTATATATACATATACAACAGTAAAGAAAAATAAAATTTAAAGTGGGGGCATGGCCCCCCGGACCCTACACTGGCTTCCCCACTGAGTGTTGCAGTTCTTCACTCACCACTGCATGGTTCAATTTAATTGGATCATGTTGGAATGGTATAAATGCTACTTCTTTAACCATATGTACAGAAGCATATTTGAACGCAATGAACTCAAGTCTATTCAGTGGTCATCTGGCACGGTATCTCTCTCTCTCTCTCTCTCCCAAATTTATTATTTACTGGAATTCGGAAAACTGTTTAGCTTACTTTTTTTTTTTGGGAAGCAGACGTTTCCTTTTGTCGGATTTTCGCTGGCCATGTTTCTGTTTTACTCCGGAGTTCCAATTTTACTTAAGGTACGTACTATTTAAATTTTTATAGCGAAATTGATACGACGACATAAGTATGGAGGTCAATATTTGAGTGTAACGGTCAGCTATTTATTTTGTGGTTATTTATTTGTTTCTCTGTTTCGGATACAAACAAGCCTTCGAATTTTATTTTGATTCAATAAAATTTCCTTATATATGTATATGTATTTATGCAGATGAGTGGATCTGCAATGCTAAATCTGTCACTGCTTACATCTGATATGTGGTCTGTTTTTATTCGAGTCTTTGCATACCATCAGAAGGTATGGTAAAAAATAAAAAATAAAGAAACGGAAGCAAATTAAATTATGATTTTTCACTTATAAATTTAATCTTTTTTTTATGAGTTATCTAATTAGGATTCGTTATTTATTTATCCAGGTTGATTGGATGTACTTTGTAGCCTTTGCTACTGTTGCGGTTGGCATTATTATATACTCAAGGTACGCAAAATCTCAGCATTTTTAATTTGTAGACCTTAGAAGCAAAGCAGAGATAAAGAGAAAGTAAACTAAATAAATAATAGGGTAAATTACACCAACACCCCTGAGGTATGCTTAAATAACTGTAAGGTCGCTTGGTATTGATAATTACAATCACCCCCTGAAATGTAGTTAGAAACTCTAACGGGATAATACATTGGATATATTATTCCGATAGGGTTCTAATGGCCTATTACCTTTAGCTAGTGGTGGAGATAACATAGAGTTATGGGGAGTAATGAGGTGACATGCCTCCCGAAATATTACTTAAATCACCCATAACTCTTTATCGTCTCCACCACTTCCTGAAATCAATATATAGTCCGTTAGAACTCTATCGCAATAACGTATCCAATGCATTATCCCATTAGAGTTTATAACTATGTTTCAGGGGGGTGAGTGTAATTATCGATACCATAGGGACCTTATAGTTATTTAAGCATACCTCAGGGGTGTGGGTGTAATTTACCCTAAATAATAATAATAAGGGTAAATTACAAAAAACTCCCTGAATTTAGGCTAAATATCTAAAAACACCCCCACATATCCGTAATAGCCAAAAGCCCCATCTGATTAACTGTTGATCGAGTTTTTTAACAAAACATGTGTACAGTCTATTATACCTTTTGTGAAAGAGGTGATAAATAAAATAAAAAATTTCTGAAATTGTGTAATGTCTCTTCCCTGGGATAAAAAAAATCCGTGAGAAGTCACACTGTGAGGGGTTGGTGTAAGACGGAAACAAACCTCAATAGTTTTTGGTAATTACGAATAGGTGGGGGTGTTTTTCGTTATTTAGCCTAAGTTTAGGCTGGTTTTCGTAATTTACCATTATTATTATTATTATTATTATTATTATTATTATTATTATTATTATTATTATTATTATTATTATTATTATTATAACAATAAGTATAAGAATAGTATGAGAAAAAGAGTGATTAATGATGTTTTAAACCAATGAAAAATGACAGGGGTGATAAAAGCAAAAAGAAGAGTGCCGAGATTGGTGATGAGGAGATAGGTGAGGCGCGTGGAGAAGCAACAAGAGGGAGTGGAGCGTCTGAGGATGTTGGTTCAACTAGGGTTGCTCCACATAACGAAATAATAGTGCCACCACAAGGGAACAAATTTTAACACTATTATCTTTTGTTTTAGCTCTTAATATCCATATTCTTGCTATAAACATGATCACATGTTGCATTTAAGGGGGAAAATTATGATTGAAATCCCTCATATATATATATATATATATATATATATATATAATATAATATTTGTTTTTTCTTGTCTTTTCTCCAAAATGTTTTAATTTGTATCAGGCCACACCAAGATATTGGTTTATTGATATTTACCAGCCTTTAAACTAAACCCTTTTGTTTTAAATGCCTTGTGTCATTTAGGAGTGATATTGGTAGGGATATCAAACTTTTTGATCATTACTGCATACCAATCGTAACTTATGTTAATGGAAGGTTGCATATCATTACTGTACCAAAACAATTGTGGTATACTGGCAGGCAGTGGCGAATTCAGGTTTTTCGCTAAGGAGGTGCGAGATTAGACTAAAAATTTACGGGGGTTCGGGGGCAGCGCCCCTGATTTTTTTTTTAATAAATAATATACACGTAAAATAATAGGAATATGTAAAACTTCAAATATAAAAAGATCATTTATAAATTTTGGGATAATTTAGAGTTTTTTTTTTTTTTTTTTGAACACATAAAGCCGAACTACATTACATATTTAACAAAAGATGCAGTTACAAACACGGGTAGTACATCTATTAAAGTTTGATGTTTTATCTGCATATATATAACTAGTAAGAAACGGGGGACATTCATCATAGAATAAAACTTCATCGAGATTTAGCTCCGCTCCTCGTTTTGCTAATACGTCCGCTACGCTGTTTATTTCCCTATAGCCGAAGTTGATGACGACATTCTGGAATTCAGTCAGTAGTGCCTGTAGATCCCTCTGTAGATCCCTGAGAAGTGTTTGGTGGCCGGTGTGAGGTGCTTCCTTCTTGATGCATGATAACAAGAAAGTTGAAGTTGAATCTGTTTCTATTACAAGTTGTTTAATATCAAGATTTCTTGCCTGTTGGAGACCAAAGAAGCAAGCCCAAATTTCTGCTTTATTATTCGTGGTACATCCAATATTTTTTGAGAAAGCAGATACGAAATTTCCAACATCATCACGGATAATGCCACCGATACCTGCTATTCCCATGTTTTTATTTGACGAGCCATCTGAATTAAGTTTAAACCAGTTTGTTGGTGGGGGTTTCCATTTAAGAGTTATGGTAATTTGTGGAGGGTTAGTTTGAGTATTTCGAAGAGAGTAGTGTGATGACATATTCCAGATTAGATGGTTATTTATAGGTTTATTCTGGAATATGTATTCATTTCTAGCTTTCCATATTAACCAAAATACAATTGCAGTCTGATTATAAGAAATGTGAGATCTTGCAACTCTAAAAAGGTGGGAGCATATGTTAAAGTTTGTAGTATTATTTGTCCATGGGATTTTTATTCTAGTGGGGTTAAACAAAGTGCATGAGAGGAAAATGTGGGATATGGTTTCCGGTTCTATTTTACATAAAGGGCAGAGATTTGTTGGTAACATTTTTCTTTTGAAAAGAAATTCAGCTGTTGGTATGGCTTGGTGGGCTGATTGCCATATGAAATTTTTTATTCTAGGGTGAACTTGAAGTTTCCATATAGAATTCCATGGGAGGGTGGGATTTTGTGTAGGGTTTGAGCAATCAAGTAGCCATGATGAGTAGGCGCTTTTGAGTGTAAATATACCAGTTTTGGAAAATGCCCAGACAAATTTATCTTGTATAGGATTAGCGGGAATATATATGTACAGCAGTTATGCGTTTTATAATGAAATCTGGCACATGGTTAATAATGTGAGATAGATTCCAAGATCTAGTCTGAGGATTAATGAGAGCTGAGACTTTAAGGTTGATGAGTTCGTGGGAGATGCTATGAGTGTATTCTGCAATAGTAAAATTTCCAATCCATTTATCAAACCAAAAATTGATTTTATTACCTTTTCCAAGGATCCAAAATTTACATTTTGTGATAATGTCGATAGTTTTGTGTATATTTTTCCATATGCCACTATTATAACCTTTGGGTTTGGGAGCATTCAGGAAGTTTGTTTGGGGGAAATATTTGTTTTTCATCAATTGTGCCCAAATGGATGTTTTATCTGTAAGGAGTCTCCATCCCAGTTTTAAAAGGAAAGCTTTATTTAGGATTTTAAGGTTTTTAATTCCAAGTCCTCCGTAAATTTTTGGTTGACAAATAGTATTCCATAGGATGGGGCTCTTTCTATTAGAGTTAGGAGAGGAATTCCGTAAAAAGAATTTATTTATAGAGTTCAATATATTAATGGTGACGTCCGGAAGTTTGAAAGAATTCATGGTATAATTTGGTAGGGCATTAATAACGTGATTAATCAGAGTATACCGACCAACATGGGATAGGAATTGGTTATACCATGTCGAGATTTTTGCTTGGGTTTTAGAAATAATATCAAAAAACGTTGCTTTAGACACACGGTTAATGATAATGGGCAGACCCAGATATTTATCCCCGACGTTGCCTTTTTTTATTTGTAGCTTTTGGCATATTTCCCGTTTTCTGTTTTGAGTGATGTTTTTGGAGAAGAAGATTTTGGATTTTGTCCAGCAGATACTAAGCCCTGATTCAAGAGGAAAATTTTTTAGGGTATCTTGAATAAAATTTAATGATTTATCACTGGTTTTTGAAAAAATGATACAGTCGTCCGCAAAACCTAAAATTGGAATAGGCGGACACTGTTTGTTTATTTGCAAAGCATCAAAACATGAGCGTTTCTGTCCTTCCAGAAATTTTAAAATGAGAAAATTTAGGCAAAGAATAAAAATATACGAAGATAATGAGTCTCCTTGTCGGAGACCTCTTTCCGGTTTCCATGTTTCAGAAGTATGTCCGTTTACGGATAGAGAAAAAGATACCGATGTAATGCAAGCCATAATCCATTTTATTAACAGATTCGGGAAGTTTAATTTATGAAGAACCATGTTAATGAAATTCCATTCTAGTTTATCATAGGCTTTTTCTATATCTATTTTTACCGCCATAAAAGATGATTTTGTTTTTTTTGATTTCATTGTGTGAAGAAGTTCATGAGCCATGATAATATTATCCCCAATTTGCCGTTTGGGGACAAACGCATTTTGAAGTGGAGTAATCAATTTGCTAAGATACGGTCTAATTCGATTGACCAAAATGTTTGAAATGATTTTATATGGAACATTACACAAACTTATTGGGCGAAAATGATTGATATTATAGGGGTTATTATTTTTCGGAATAAGAATGATTTTGGTTTCATTTAAAAAAGGGGGAAGTTCAGATGATTCAAAAAATCTAAAAATTGTTCGATGGATGGATGGTCCCACAATGTCCCAGTATGTTTGGAAAAAATGCCCATTAAGACCATCCGGTCCGGGGGCCTTGTCTGGGCCAATGCGGAAAAGAGCTTGTTTTATTTCATTATTTGAAATATCTTTGATAAGGGGAATATGCTCCTCCAAACCTAGCCGTGGGCAACAAATATTTTGAAAAATGTTTGGATTAGGTTTCGAGGAGGTAGAGATAGTTTTGAAATGTTCCAAAAAATATTTTTGAATATCTTCCACGTTGTAAATCCATTGGTTATTGATTTTTAAGCTATGTATAGTATTAGTACGTTATCTATTTGTGGCATATGCATGAAAGAATTTTGTGTTATTATCTCCTTCCTTAAGCCAAAGGACTCTAGACCTTTGTTTCCAAAAGATTTCCTTTTCTTTAAGGAGGTTTTGATGTTGATTTCTGAGTCTGTTTAGTTCCTCATAAATGGGGATCGAATAATTGTTATCAAGTTCAAAAGTGCATTTTTCAATCCTATTCATAATATATTCAATATTTTTATCCAGATTTCCATAAACATTTCTTTTCCATCAACTGGCTCTATATCGGAAAATCCAGCAAAATTTTTGAAATTCATTATTAGAATTAGGGTTAATTTTTCTAGCCCACGATTCAGCCACAACATTAGCAAAAGATTCATGGTTAGACCAAACTTTTTTATATCGAAATTGTTTCCTTCTAGGGGAAGACGAGTGATGTGTGTCTAAAAGAATAGGGTTGTGGTCAGATGTACTGGAGGCTAAGTGATAGATTTTAGTATTTGGAAAGCAATTATACCATGACATATTAGCAAGTGCACGATCAAGTCTTTCACAGATAAATGATCTACCATATTGACGGTTATTCCATGTAAAAGGATGGCCACTAAAACCTAAGTCAATTAATTCACAATTAGCTACGCAGTCTCGAAATTGTTGCATTATATTCAAGGATGGTCGTCTTCCGCCTTTTTTTTCGTTTTCGTTTAAGATATTATTAAAATCACCCATAATTAACCAGTTCATAGAATTGGTAGTAGCAATATGCATTAATTGATTCCATACCTGCATTTGCAAGTGAGGTTGTGGATAGTTGTAGACTGCGGAGAAGAGGAACGGTGGGTCTCCATTGTTGATTGTGGCGATTGCATTCACCATTCGGTTAGTAGTCTGCACATGTGATAGCATGACTTGTCCTGAGTTCCATAAGATCCATATTCCTCCTGCATTGCCATCTGCCGGAATCAAAATAGATTCATCAAATAGGAGGCTCCTGACAGCATGAGACGCAGGGCCAGTATTCATTTTAGTATCTAGAACCACAAATATCGAAGGGTGGTTTCGTGCAACTAGATCTCTAGCTGCACTTTGGAAATCAGGCCTATTGGCCCCCCGACAATTCCATACTAAGATCTTCATTGGTGGTTGTTGTGTGGGTGGTGGTTGAACTATGTTGGTTCTTGTTTCTGTTGTATCGGGATTTACATCTCCGTTTTGGGTGGGAAGCAAGTTCGGTAGAGGAGAAGGTTCGTTTGGTTGGCTGAGTGGGTTCATGATCAGACGGTATTGGAACTCTCTGTCTCTGTGCATCACCTCTCGTTCTTGGCCGATTTCTATCTGATAGCTGTGGGTTAAAGGGTGACCGAGGAAAAGATGCGGCGTAGTGTGAAAAGTTTGGATGATGTAC